TGAAAACCGAAATATCCAAAGTACTTGGCGCAGAGTTCAGTACCCATCAAGTGCGTTACGCCCTCGTGCGTATTTCTCTCACGACCAAGACCCAATTTCCGATGACAAAAGGAAAACGAATTCTCATTGAGACAGCATATTGAATGTCTTTGCGTGGTCTCGATTACAAAGGCAGAAGCTAAAAAAGCAGCCAGAAAATCTAGCAAAGATCTTGGCGACAATTATAATCAACATGAGTATATTTCTATAAAAAGGCTGGCCTCAAACACGCAAATCTCGTTGGACTTTTGCTTATGTTTCTGCCCACTGATGGCAGTGCACTTGAAGTAGTTCATCACGGTGTACCGAAACCACCTACGAAAATATCATGGAAAGTTCATCGAAGGTCTCCTTTCCCTTGTCAAAAATTATTATCTGCGATTTAGCTTAGCATTGGGGGAAATTCCTAGAAATCTTTTATGAAAATATTATACGTTTAACATTGAGATTTAGACACTTAACCGTGTTAAAACATAATTGATTGTCAAGTCAAAGACTTTGTTTTTTTTCTCTTCTCAGGCTTTTGTTAATTAAATAAGTGCGTGGATGATGTCGTCTCCATAATCAATTTCAATTGAAGGTGTCAAGCAGCTAGGCCCAACTGAAATGGAAACTGACGTAGGCAGACTTAATTGTTTGCCAGTTGGAAATTCGCCCCAGAGAAGGTTATCTGTGCGATAGAATATTATGGAGTGGGCGGAAAATCAAGGGAGCTCATTTAGCCGAAATTAGGCCAATTAAACCGAATATTCTGATTTAAACTACTGTATCCAAGTATTCAAGGGCAATTGTTATTTGGAACGCTTACCCAAATGTAAGGTATTTAACTATTATCCCGTCATCACAACCTTAATCACAGCTGAGTAGACAGATTGACTCACCGAAACTGCAAATAGAAAGGGAAAAGGGAAATTAAGATCTTTTTCAAAGTAATTTGTGATTAATTGTTTCAACAAAGTAGTGCTAAAGGAAATGCCAGTTTCAGTATTTGCCTGAGAACAATTGTTAACAAGTCACGGGGCTATTTAAACTTGGAAAAACTGTATTAGTTTACTGTGTGAATTTGTGCTACACCAAACAAATGACAGCTTATCAGCTAGCTCACTGCTAATCAAGCTCGTTTATCTATCTAATCACTCCCAGATATTTTATGGAAATTAAGCATTCAATTTACATAGCCTGTTTCTGAGTCTGCATAAAATATTCGCAAATAAAAATACATATTTCCAGCAACACATGCTACTAGCAATTAACAAAATGTTTCTATTTATTTATCGCTATCGAGCGCAGAGATAAAGAAAAACTATAAGCTGATAAGAATGTTGAGTCGCTGGGAAAAAAAAGAAGGCAAAAGTCTAGGGAGACGCAACGGAAATAGCACGTTTTATACGTATAGCAACGATCAGCTGATTCTTTCCAGTAGTTTGAGCTTAGGCTAGATCAAGAAACCCTATAAAATACATACATAGAAATTCAACGTGCTCGGCGTTTACTTTATTATTTCTATAGGAATTCTCAGAGAACTGTGACGCACTTCTCTCCCCATGCTCAATGCTAAATTTAACAATAGAGAAAAGCTAAATGTGTGGCGGAAACCAATTATTATTTTGCGTGAGTCTCTCTCTTCACAAGTTTTTGTTGAATAATCAGCTGATCGGCTATAGTCTCTCAAAGACACCTGCTCTTTTTTGCTGATTCTTCAACTTCATTGGGATTTTCTCGTGGGATTCATCTTAAAATTCAGTGGAATCATAAAATTTGTCACCAAATTTAGGCAGAAGTTTAACCAGACTTTGCCTCTCAGCTTTCTTCAGTTTGTTAACTTTTTATTTAGCTTGATAACAAACCTGATTTCTCATCAATGACGTAGAAAGACTAATCGAAATCGGGGTTTTGTCGTATTTGAAATACGATGTTGGGTGATAAGACGGTGGTTATCTGCTATACTCAAGTTCAATCATTACCTGACTACAAAAACCCGCATTGTTTTTTGTTACTTTCGGTAGTCTATCAAATTGCCGTCAATAAAATGCTTATATGGCAGATAGAACTTTGGCACTTAGGTTCAGATATGCGTTTCTAGTTTCTCCCGATAATAACAAGGGTGTGTGTCTAAGCATGTGATTCTAAGTATTAAAACTTAACAGTTTGTACTTGAATGTCGAGTATCTAAGGACGGAATTTTTCTTGTTTACTTAAGGGGCTAAAATTATTTCAAGTACTCGACTTAGTTTGGGAACATCAGATTGAGGCAATGACCCAAAAAATAAACATTCTTCGGGTAGGTCCGTTGGGATTTCAACTTGAACAACATAAAATAGTATGGGATATAAGACATTCTAATGGAACTGTGTAAATATTTAGTCAGATCTAAAAAATTGATACATAAACCAATTTGTTAATGTTTTTAGATCCCTTTCTTTGTTTTTTTTTAACTTTCCTCCTACATCTCATCTGGCATGCTTCACTTATTCTTGGTTCTTAACAGCCACTCAGCATTTTCAGTTTGATAGTTTTTCTTTTTTGCTTTATTGCCACATTTCATGCAAATTGGTTTGGCCCCTCGAGGTTTGGTTGGGGTCACCTAACGGCTCTTTCATCGCTGTTTATTTGCCCAGGCCCGAAAAACTTACTCGACTTCTCTTGAGACGAGGCCGCATAAACTTTTGCGCACTTCATAAAAAATTGCGCAAAAAACAAGGTAAACAATGAAGAAAACTACAAAATAAATACTTATAAAAATAACATTTTAGGGTCCGTTAGGAAACCCCTTGTGGGGCCAATGTGGGTTACTTTTTTATGACACTTCACCCAGGCCGGGTGAGAGATATGTGTGTATATAATATGTAGGCATAAAGATCCATATGCAAATTTTGCTACTCGGCGCAGGAACAACCAAACGAATCACACCTGAGGGCATCGCATAATTGTGTCACTGTGAGTGAATTTCATTAGAATTTCTGAGCAGGCTTTCATCGGAACAAGCCAACCGGCACACAAAAAATTCATTTAATTTTCTGCCCTGTATTTGCATAAGCTGATGAGTTTTGCTTATTTGTGGATAAATAAGAAATTGGAGTTTCAGACCTCTTGTCTTATAAAAAGTAGTTTGGAGTTACTAGAACATCTCACTACCCACAGCATTTTAAAAATAAATTTAAAACAATAGGATCTTAAAGCGTTTAGCTTTCAAAGACCTTCAAAACTATTTGGCCACTAAAACATTCCGTTTTCTATATACCAAAGAGTTCCACAGCCTTCAGCATTTGAATATAATTAATTGCGTTTCTCAAATCCAATTAGCACCCAAAGTAAACTTTCGAATGTTGAAATGTAAAGATCATTCGATAACCTTCTCATGGAAATGAGAGATGGGTTTCGGGAACCCAAATAGATGGTTTTTTTGGGGCTGCGGGCGAAGACAGAACATCGGTTGAGTGAAATGGAAAGCTAAAAGCAAAACAAAAGCCCACAACACGTGTTGCAAATTGTATGCAGGCCAAAGAATCATAAAACAAGCACTCTGGAAATGATTAACAAAACCGAAAAGATTAATAACAATGGTTAAGAGAGACCTGAGACAACCACGCGTTGATTAGCCGGCCCTAGGGTAACAAAAACTGAGGAAAGTATCTGAAATTTCACTGCATCGTGTTTTTTTCCTCTTGGTATCTCAATCGGATTTCGTGAGCGACAAGAAGTTGGCCAGTTTTAATGAAAGCCAGCCGATTTTAATCTTCATTTAGTGCTGAAGATCGTTATCGATCGCTGGAATCGCAAATGGCTTGGCATTATAAATTGGTCTTCGTTTTTTGTTATTTCTTTCCCCCATTGGCTTGTGTTCTTCTCTGTTTTGTTTTCCTCTTATTGATTGTTCTTGAAATATGTTTGACTTTGAAAAGCAGAGGCAAAAAACAAAATTAGAATACGAAATCCGTTTATGTCTATCCTCGAGCAGAATCTTTGAGTAGGTTCTCAGGGCAAAAGGTCATAAAATCGATATTAGCTTTTTAAAATACCATTTTTATGGTATTTTAAGTTCAGAAGCGTGGGATGCGAGAGATTACAAAATAGCACAAGCTCTATAGAATTTCCCCGCCGTTGATAACAGGTGTCATATACAAGTACAAAGTAAACTTTTCTCATTCTAGAAAATAATCTCATCAGCCGGCTGAGAAATTACAATTTTGTTTATAAACATCTGGGAACATTTTCAGAGAGAGATTAGCGGAATTCGAGTGAGCGCAAACATTTGTCAAAAAGTGTGATATAATACTAATTATAAGGCACGATTGTACATTAATTCCAGCGATAATGTACACTTAATGTCAATGTACTCGGCGAATATGGAAGGCAGAATTAATTTATATTGTTTTAAATGGAGTAATCAGCATCAGCTGAGATCGCTACGAAAGATTAGCGATTACTAACAAAGTAAAATACAATATACATTTATAATAAATTTTTTTACAAATCGCACACAATTTATTTTATTGGACTATGCAACTTGAGAACTTCTGTTCTTTCAGACTTCATTATCCTTTACTTCCCTACTTCCCATTCATATTTTTGTTTAATGGAAATTCCTTCCTTTTTTTATTCCCTAACTATTCAATCCCCTTTTGATTTCCGTCAGTTTTGTGCTCAGATTTCAATGGTTTGCCGCTCTCAACTCAACTTCTATTTATTGCCAAGGACATTATTGCAAAAGTTCTCATGCCCACACACACACTCTCAAATTCGCATCCTTGATGCTGCACAACTCTCTTTGTTGCTCTCTCGCTCTAATCTGTTCTCTCTCTCTCGTGTGCGACAAAAAAAACTTCGCTTTTGGAGTTTGTACATAGATCTCTCACATCTCTCGCATTATTGTTGCTTTTTCAGAAGGGGTTGGGGGTACCGAAAACTCCACGAATGTGTATACCTCTTATGACAGACCAAAATTCACATATATTTCGTACCTTCTTTCGTCGTTAATCTCCGGATCTCTGTTTTGGTTTCTGGTTTTCTCAACTTATTGCACACCAAATCACCGATTTTCCTGTTACTTTTGTTATTTGTTAAACTGTTAAACACTTTAGCATCTGCGGTGCTTGGCGATGCTAATTATTAGGATAAGAAAACTTTAAGCGGTTACTATAATTTCTTGCAATTGAATTTGATTAATTTAGCGGGATTTGTGTTTGCTTGCTATTCCATTCATTGAGCAAAAATCGCGTTTGCCTTTGATTTACCGTTGTTGCTGCGACGAATTTCACTTTCGACTCGCACGAGCGTTATGAATTGGATTTATTTTGGATGTGATACTGGGGCTACTGTGTATTCGATTTCGATTCCGAGTTTTGAACGCCTGCAGTGCAGTTCTCCAAACGAGCCTCAAACAATGCGCCCGAACAGAAAAAATTGAACCTCCGCTGGTCTTTCCAACTCGTCCGCTTCGCACAACCGCACAAGCGCGATAATTTCAACCGAATGAAAGGCAGAAACAGAGGCCGAACGGTTCGAGTGGAGCAGCTGCCGAGCAAAACCAGAAAGCAAACGCACCCCAACCAACGGAGGTGGCAAATTTATAGCGAAAAGAACTAAAATTTCTGGTATGAAAACTAAAACAAAGGAGGAAAGGAATAATTTTCAACAAAATAATTATCACTTTTAATTGAAAAACATTTATTTCATATTTTGTATATTAGTACATTTTGAATTATTGAATATTATTTATATTTTGTTAAATTTATTTCTTTTAGCTTTTTCTTATTAGCCATCTAGCTTGTTACCGCTAAAAGTACTGCCATCACTGCCAAACAACAACACAATGCTGCGTGGCAAACACAAAGAGAGCGGGAGAGCGTAGCAAAGTAAATAACTAGAGAGAGAGAAAGAATTGAGAGCGCTTTGTATTTTTGTTTATTGTTGTTGCTTTTGCTGCTGGCGGGTTTACTTTTGTTGTTGTTGCTAACGATTCGGCATTGAGAACAAAAGACAGTGGGCAGTATGGAAAAATATTAAACAAAAGCTTAGCTTTAAATACTTAAAAATCTAGTGTTCAAATTAATTGGGAAAACAAATTTTATGGCTTTACAAAAATTATAGAATGTAATTCATAAGTCGAGTGAGTTGTTTCTTGATAACATTTATCAGTATATTTATTAATATTATTTGTGAGTTAAAAAAAATTTAAAATTTTGTTCTATTTAAATATAAAAAAAACATTTTAAAACCCTTATAAAGTTATAGAGTTGAGAAAAGTCATCTGCCATATGTGCATCCTTCATCTGCGTCCGTTCTCACAAACTTCCCCGTTAGAAGTTCCACCCCCTGCAGCCAATTTCCCAATTCAACCAAGAAACCACAACAAACATGACACAAAGCCCACATTAAATACGAATTACCACTTAGCAGATCGATCATGTTGCATGCCGCAATCTCCAGTGAAACCACCCTCATGGGTGTGCGTAATGACAGCTCATTATTTGGTTATTTTAGGGGAGGGGGAGAATGCCAAACATGAAACTTGAAACATGACAAGGTACCCGCATTCGACCGATGGCCATTGAAATTGCATTATTACGAGGTTGATTGGCCTTCCCACAAAAGACACCCACCGATCGAATTCGAATTCCACCCCTCGGCTATTGACAAATTGCCATTTTCCAAGGAAAATAGCTGATCTTGAAAGGCCAAAGACAGCAACGATCTGGCAACTCTAAAAGTTAAAGACAAAATGCAAACACAACTTCTTCTGCAGGCTCTCCCAAACTAAGCAAACACAGAAAGTAAAAGCAAACAAACAAACTCTTTCACTCTCTCTCTCTCTTGCTCTCGCTCTCCTGCTGTTAACAGCGCTGCGGGTGGTTGCTTCCAAATCGCACTGTTAACTTAACAGAGCAACTGTTATTAACAGCTCAACTTTAAACGCGCCTAAACAATAACATAAATAACATAATTAATTACTAAAATTGATATAAAGCCGGAACTGCTTTGGTTTGACATTTAGCAATCGCCACTGATAATGCGTCAACAAGACAAAGAGACTCGGGGTCTCGCAATCTTCTGCGGCACATTTCAGTTCTTATCAAAAAAATAAAGAAGAAAGACCCAGAAAAAACAAGCAGCAACTACAACAACAATTTGTTTATTCAAATTACAACATGCCAACAGCTGGCACTAGAAAAAATAGTGAAAACTACAAGCCAAAGATTATGTACCCTTTTTATAGCAAACCCCTAACAAAGAAAGTATAACTAAATTAAAAAAAAAAAACATTTCCCTATCCACTGAAAAATAGTTTATTATAAAAAAAAATTTGAGATAGGATACATTTTTATAGAGACGTCTAACATAAATAAGAATTCCCTTTGCAAGAGTATAAGAAAGCAACACCCAAGAAAACAAGAAACCAAAACAAGCTCACAACTTCACAAGAGGAAAGATCAGCAGTGAAATTATTGAGGATGTGTCTGGAATATTTATCGTACAAAATCGATGATAAAACCCGATGAAGACATATGGTTTAGCCGACTGCCAAATGCTGTCGACATGACGGATCGACACGCCTACATATGGAAATAGGGTCTGTCTTCAAGTCTGGGAAAGAAAAGAAAACTAAATCAACATAAGAACTGGGTAGTGAAATTTCAGGAGGTGATAAACAAAGAAGCTAATTTTTTTTTTAAACTATCAATAATTTGAATTTAGAGGTTACAAAAATTGGTAATATAGATTTCAATATTATGTCACAGAATTTTAGAACTCAATAATAAAAAAGCTTAGATTTGTAGATTACATTTTGTAGATTATTAAGAACAAAGTATTCGTTAACCTTAATAATGCCTTTTCTAGTGACACAATTCTCACTTATTTTTTACCACTTCTCGAAGGCAACTACTTGCAATCCTATTCGAATTGCATTCTATCCAGAACTCTCCCACAATTCATAATTGCGATAACACCAACATCTTGGAGCTGCCAGAGGCCGGAATATTTGCACATCAACTGATCCACCCGGGCCAAAAACGCAACTTGAATGATAAGTCAAAACAGCAGAAAATGTGTAGGAAAAACTTAAAGACAAGCAACCACTTCCATTAGGGAGATACTGGAGATACTGAGGGAGCTGCTGGCCCCCGAGCAATGTTGAACGTTTTGGACATATCTTTTGCTTACAACATTTACGACAGGAAGAAATCCATCAACACGATTCTTTTGGCCTAGGCCTGCCTTCGGGCCCAGAGACTTTCCACAAGAAAAAAGGCCAAGAGAGAGAGAAAAAAGCATTAAATAAAAGTTGCATTCAACACTCGCTTTCTTTGCGAGTCATGTTGTAATGGTCGCTGGAGGGCCCGCAGACGACTGGCCGACCCTTTAGCATTAGTTAAACCCTACACTTTGAACATTTTTTACTCTTTTCATGGTTTAAAGAAATATTAAATATACTTTTTTGCAATTTAAAGAAATTAACTATTTTTGTTAGCTTTACTCCGAAAACGCATTAAATTCATTTCATGCGGACGTGAAAAAAGTCCTTATAGTTCATTAAAAAAATATCTTTTTTAAGAAGAGGATAATTATCTTAGTTATCCGATATAAAAACCTAATCAAACTTGTTATTGAATATTTTTTCCCAGTGCATTTACGCCCCATCCTAAACACCCTAAAGCACATTTTACACTGTCACGGGAAATTGTTTGTTTAACATGCGCGGCGCGTTTAAAATTACATGATGAGCAGCGTTTATCAAAAAAACATAAAGAAATCAAAACAACCAAATGGGTGTGATGAAACAGGAGGTAGGGGGTATAGGGGGCCGCTGTGCAGCTGCATTGTCTGGGCTTGATCTTGCAGATCCTACGCAACTTTCTGCCTCCACTTCATTTTTTCCTCGATTACAAGTATATTTAGCTGCCTGTCTGGGGTCGTCGTCGGGGTCTTGATTCAATCGAACGAACGAACGAACGACGAGACAACGATCCCCCTTTTTTCACCCCTCTTAAGACCCACGCCCCTGGGCAATCATTGGCGCTGCTGCGATCCAAGTCTTGTCTGGCGACCTATGGTGATTTCTTGGAAAGAAATTATGATATTTCTTGCGGTCATTCGATGATGAGTTGCCATTGTCTCATCGCTTCTGCTAACGAAGAAAAGAACTTCTTCTGGCTTCTGTTGATTTTTCCACGGATACCTCCCACTCTCACGAAATTAATGGTAGACGGGCGGTTTATTACTTAATTGGAGCAATCGGAAGAAATATTATAATTGGACCACACTGCAGTTCGAAATCTTCGGTTGAAAAGGTGAAGAGGGAGGTTCTCTGAAATTAACAATAGATCTTTATCATCGCTTACTTAATAATATTTTGGTTTAGTCACCCAATTATAAATTTCTTAAGAACTATAAAGCGCTAAGCGGTTTTTGAAATTGATTTACAATTTATAAGAAATCATTCCAAAATGATGGCAAATAATAAGCGTGATTTGTATTAAAATAATAATAGTAATATTGTTCTAGTGCTACAGTAATTATTCGAAACCTTAATTACTTTTTACATCCCAGATTCAGTGACTCAGTCTCTGTCTGATATCCACTCAAATTATAATGGGATAATTAAAGCTCATTACGATCAGCGAATGGGAAAAACTTTGCCAAAAGAGTCCGTCTCCAGAAAGTGTTCCACTTCCTTGGCTCTGGGCTCCATAAATATCCGAGTCTGTTGCGGAACGTAAATCTTCATTTAGTCTGGTTTGTTCCGAACTTTCCCTTTCCCCAGCTCCTTTCCAACTCCCCCACGCCGAAAGTTACGCCCTTTGTGGATAGTTGCTTGAGCCGAAGTAAAAATATATTTCCTCGCCGCACCGCAAATGTTGACAATTAATCACAAAGAGTATGGGCACGGGCAAATGAGATTGAACAGTGCGTTTCAAATCGATAAGTTCGGATGCAAAGGTTTTTTATTCCAATATTTAAAATATTATCTTATTAGTTAAGAAACAGATTGTTTAGGAAACTGAATTTTTATATTTTATTTATTTGTTTTGGTTCTTATACTATTACAGTATCTCTGTCCCGAAACGCGCTGTTTACGACTTGGTCCGGTCCATAATTACAAGAATCGAGATCCCCCTCCGTAGACCCCAAACCCCTTCGCACTTTCCGACACACCCGAGTTCCATCCGCACTTGAAGACTTGAACTTAATCGGCTCTGAAAGAGGAGATAAGACTACCAAATCCCCCCTGAGATTCCGATTCCTCCGCCCGGTTCTCATTATCAAGTAACGGTTAATGCACGCATAAATTAATTATTTCACAGGGCAATCAACGAATCAAATCCGAAACTCGAACTCAACCAGAATTTTAATTGCCAGCTGTAGTACCAAAACAGAAATAGAAATGAAAATGGAAAGAGTAGCTCAGCGAAGAAATGTGTTTTGGTAATGTAAACAACTGATCAAAGTGTTGGCGATAAGATACTCCGCTCTCC